GGGTACATTGCCAAGTGCATAGGAGGGGGAGGAGGAGGAGGGTTGGCAATGCATGATTGGGTCTAGGATTCGAGGCACGGGGAGGGAGGTTGAGGTAGATGTGAGGAGGACGACGTGTGTCGATTTCACGCGCCGCAGGCAACAAGCGGGATTAGGTGGGTGGATTGAGTATACGTGGCGTAGGATCTCCCTTGGTAGTTTCCTAGGCCGCGTAAGGGATAGGGGAGAGGTGGTGGGTGAAAAAGAGGAAAGCAAGAAAAGAGTAAAAACAAGAAAGAAAGTAAAGATAGCCAATAAAGAATGGATTCTGATTTTCTGACATTACACAGATGGGCACTTTAATTCAAATATATATCTTACCATTTTTACATAGGTATTGTTTCATCCTGCGTTTCTTCTCGCTACTGATGCATCTGGCAGTTTCTCCATTCATCTCTGTCCTTAACCCGTTAGATCCATATAATTTTGCGTAAGCATTTTTCCTATTTGTTTGGATCCTTACACGGGCGATTTTTGATTTTCTTTAGTACAGAAATTCTTATCCACTTTTATCTTTGCCAATGCTAGATATAAAATGCTTAAAAGCGCGATTGTTATCGCAAGACAGAGTTCTACACACTTAGAACCCCTGAACAGCAGTTAATTTATAGTAGGGACCTCCAACTATGCAGCCATAAATTTCTTCCATCCACTACGATCTTGTGTTTCTCGCAACTTCATTAAGTTGGTGGGTGAGCCCAATTAGCTGCTGCTGGTTTTCCTGATAATGTAAACAACAGTTTATACAAAATAATTTTAAAATTTGTACAATACAAGATGAATATCACTGGAAAACACGACAATCAAAAAGGCGATGTTACATCATCCCGTATAATCACAACGTTTCTTTTCGCGAGGGAATTGCAACTGCATGTTCAGTGTGCCAGCTTCAAACCACCGCTTTATTTCAATCCTTTCAGTAAGGTACTGGTTTGGAATATCGAGCGTCACTTTTCGTCGGCAAGGCTGTAACATTTTTTCTCATTAATCCTCTGTTCCGTGATGTTACAGGTAAAATAGTGCCGGAAGTAAAATCTGCTCAACAAACGCTATTGCACGATGTTCTTTGTAAGTTTAGCTGGGAGAAGAGGATGGAGGCGAAATTTGATGAAGCAACCATAGAGTTAACTGAAATCTAGGTGGTTTCAAAGACGAAATGAGAAACAGCTTTTCCAGAATCCTAAAATTAATTATGAAGTGCCTAAAAAGAAAGCAATTTACAAATTGGTTGAAGTCGCAACGGTGGTAAATCTTGAGGGCAATGTCCGCTTTAGAACCTGACTCAATTCCGCCTAGCAGTTCATAATAACCATCTGCATCAGTATCCCTCGATGCCAGTGCTTCATCAAGGGCTGAAAACATTTTTTAGCGCACAGTTTTTGTTAGGTTTAAAATCTAAGTGTATTTTTTGCAAGTTTATGGTGGATAATTGGGTTTTCCGGAAACCCTTTTGCGACAGTGCTGTTGGAAGAAACACAGCGCTATTTTTTTGAGAAAGA